TTTTCAGTATAGTATAGTTATTTAATTATTAAATAATTAATATATTAAAAAAACTCTACAGCGCCTCCGTGATTATCTTTATTATTTTTTGCAGGGGTTATTAAGTTGCTTTTAAAATGAAAATTATTTATATTAATTTGCATTGTAAAAGCAACTGGGTAGAACCTCACAGAAAAGGGCGAAGGTTGGGCCCTTTTCACATACCATTCGAAACAAAATAGGATAACATTTTAATTTAATTATTTCCAAAGCTTAACCTTTTTTAACTCATGAGAAAAGTGTCCATTTAATTTTCTATTTGTCAACATTTTTTAAAATCTAAGTTAGATTTTATCATTAATTATTGTGCTTTAACTCTAATTTGTTTGTTCACAGGTTCCTTTCTTAAAATTTTTATTAAATATGGTGTTTTTCCGAGGGGAGCGCTGACACACGAAAAAATAATTTTCGGAGGGAATTCCTGAACTGCTCCTAAACGGTGGATGTGAAAAAATTGAGGTCTACTCCTGCATTACATAAACGAAATCCCTTAACTTTTCAGAAATCTGCCGTGAACTTCAAGAATTGCTCCTGCTGTTCACGGTAGATTTCTGAAAAGTTCGGGAATTTCTTTAATGTAATGCAGGAGAAGACCTCAACTTCTTCGCATATCCACGGTTCAGAGGTCGGACTTTTCCAGAAACTTTTTTTTCCGTGCAGAGGTACTTGACCATGAAAATGAAAAGAAGAAACATAGATTAAACTACCCTTCAATTTAAAAACTGCGGTAATTGACACAAAGAAAACAATTACCGCTGCTTTTCTTTGTAGGGCAGTAGTATCAATCTTCAATTTGTTAAGAAAGTTCGGTACCTCGCGTATGGCCAGTGGGGAGCTTGGCAGGAGAATGAGTCCACAATGGACGAAAACAGTCATCAGACAGGGTTCAAATCAGGTTAATCAATTTGGAAAAGTTCGGTATATCTATGGAGAAGTGAATAATTTGCTTTTTTATCTGAAAACTCTTTATAAATTTGCATTATAAAAGCAACTGTGTAGAATCTCACAGAAACGGGCGAAGGTGAGGCTTTTTGCGTTACTTTACAATTTTACAAACTAGACAATCAACATTCTCCAAAATGGCTAACAAGCTAATCAAGTTGAGTCATCCGCGTATGACTGTTTTTTCCCTTCGGTTCGCGTCGTGAATTTACTCGAATGCTACAAACACCGACAATCAGAAAACGCTTATACGCTAAGCAAATCGATTTAAGTTTTCAGCTTATGACTATTTTTTAAGTTTTCCTTTATAAATTTCGTAATTGTAAGTACTGCTTTGAATCCTGCTAATCTTATGCTGGTCTGTTATGGACTCAATCTTTTTGCCGGTTCGTTGCTGAATTTTTCAATTTTTGTTGATTGATCTCAGTGGCGAACCAAAGTTAGGCTGTCCTAAGGGCTAGGACGAAGATATCATCGTAGTTTTCTTCTCCATGAGGGTCAAGGAAATGGAAATTCTCTGTTGTAAGCTATATTATTGTCGTTAATTTCTTTATTATCTAAATGCATGATCACAAATAGAAGCCGCTAAGACTCTTAACTGATTTTTTGAATTCAACCGCTTTTAACTTTTTTTGTTTCAGGTTTGAGTTTTGATTATTGTCAATTATTTGGAGTGAAAGTTGTTAACATTTAAAATATTTGTGTTTTTCGGAACATTAATAAGAGGGAATCATATGTAGAACAAATATTTAAAATTAAAGGAAAGGAATAAATAACAAGGATATGCATTGAAAAACCGCAATTAGCATATTCTTCTGGTTGAAAATCAACAAGTAAGATTTTAATTTTTTATTTTCAATAGTAAATATTATTTATAATTTTTTGTTATATATTTGTTATTATATATTGTGCTGCTGAATACTTTATACATAATTACATTATTTTTTTGTTCTAGATTTGTGTTTGATTTTTTTCAAATACTTAGAGTGAAATCATTGAAATGAATGCCAATTATTGCTCATTTGTATGCAAAAAAGTTGTTAACATTATATTTTTCATAATTGAAAACACTTAATCGGATCATTTATAAGATGGAATCATATAGAAAGAAAATTTTAAAACTGAATGGAAGGAAATGAATAATAAAAAGGATATGTAGAAAAAAAAATCGCAAATAGCTTATTCATCTGGTTGAAAAATCAACAAGTAAGATTTTTTTATTTATTTTGAATTGTAAATATTTTTATTAATTTATTATATATTTTATGATATATTGTACTGCAGTATACTTTATAATAACCTTATATTTTTGTTTCAGGTTTGAGTTGTAATTTTTTGAAATGTTTGGAGTGAAATCTTTAAAATGAAAATGCCATTTTTTCTCACTTATATACAAAAAAGGTTTTAACATTATATTCTTCATAATTGAAAACACTCATGTTATTCGGATCATTTTTAAATGGAATCATATAGAAAGAATATTTTAAATCTAAATTGAAGAGAGAATAATTATAAGGATGAGTATGAAAAACCGCATTGAGCATATTTATCTGGTTGACAAATCAACAAGTAAGATTTAAATTATTTATTATAAATTGATAATTTTATTTATAATGTTATATATTTGTTATGATATATTGTGCTGCAGTGTACTTTTTAATTACACAGCGCCTCCGCGATTTCCCTCTTTTAAGAAAAAGTTGTCCCATTATTATTTAATGCTTCTTATCGTTTTACCTCGTGTCAGGAAAAAATTAAGATTTCTGAAATAAAATAAATTCGCTTTAAATTTATTACTTTGTCAATTTTAAATTTTGAAATACTTACACTGGATTAGGACTTAGTAACCCTGAAAACACACGATTAACCAATTTTGAGCCAATTACTCGAATTTATAAATTTTATTTTTTTATAAATTCTATAGACTATAGAATTTGAGGATTTAATAACAGTTGAATTATGTAAGGAGTGTTTTTATTTTTCCGCCAATATGAACTGAGTTACATGATAATTGAGGCTTCTGTACATGTATATAAATTTTTTTCTACGGAGAAAATTCTCGGCCTAGTCTCGCTATTTATTAATTAATAACGATGATCATTTTGTTAAGTACTTGGAGCGAGACTCAACCGAGTCTTTTTTTGTTTTTTTTTTTTGTTTTTCTTTCTTTTTTTTGATTTGATTATTCATTTAATTCTATGCGAAGACTACTTTGCGGACGGTGAGTGATAACAAAAGTGAGATCATTAACAAAACTTCAGTGGTCGAATTAACGAACCAAGAATAACAATCGATAAACTACAAAAAACATAACTCTACTGAGCTTCATTGTTAGTTTGGCAAAGGGAGAAGTTTTTTCTTAAATCTCGAAAACTCTTTTTGCCATGAAAATAGAGTATTTTTAAAGTAAAATGAGTTTTTCTCATTTTTTTTTTGTTTAAGAATAAAAATTCCTCGATGGTTTTTTTTCATTAGTTATGCAGGTATAAAAAAATTATCAAGTTCAATGATAACTTTTTTTCACCTGCTTAATTGATAATTAAATGCTGTTTAAATAATATTATCTTTGAAGTGAAGTTTGAAATTTTTAGTTAATAATTTTTTAATTTATATTAGTTCGGTAAATTTTTGTTAAAATTTTGAAGATTGCTCTAGAAATTAAATTGTAATAACTCTCGATTTGTCAAAAAATAGTTTTTCTAATTTTTGTATATTATTTATTTAGTACTGTTTTTTGCCTTTTTTCTAAAGGCATTTTTTAATAGCTCATAAATTCATATTGAAGCAAAAACAGGATTTTAAGGAACTAATTTTCTCTCATGTGCAGTAAAAAATAAATAAAAAAATATAAAACATTTTTAGTGCAAAATTGGAATGTATTAAGCCAGGAAATTTTCTTCTTAAATTATATAAAATTCATCCAAGTACTTAATATTATAATTTCCACGCAAAGAAATTCGGAAATGTTTTTGAAATTGTGGCAAAAAATGTCATTTTTTAATTTATTTGCGTAGAAATTACGAATATAAAAGGCGAAAAATGAAAACGATGATTTGTTACACTATTACCAAGGGGTTTTACGGCTTTCTACAAAATTCAACTCATTAAATTCTTAGACTGAATATAAATATCTCGTAACGAAATTCATTTTTTTTTGTTACAAGTATATATATTTAACTCCTCTCTAAATCTAAAAAGCGTTTAGGAGTCACTGATGACAAGTATACAAATCTCATTACCAAATTTTAGCGAATATAAGGACAGTAACATGTGTACAATATGTTTCAGTGTATTGCTGCATTAATTCTATAACATATTATTTACCACAATGACCATTTTTTTATGTTTTCCATATATTACCCTTTTCTCTCGTTCGCATATATTAATATACCTAAATTTTCACCCAAAAATGAGTTTTTTAATTTAATATTTTATAACACTGCTGTTTACGGGCTCTTTAAAGACATTTTTTTCTGTTTAATTACTTTTTTATTCTCTGCTCCCTGTTAATTAACTACGCAAAAGCATTTCTCGCTGTAATAGCGAATATAATATGAAAATTTGCTACACACATTATCTTCGGATCTCTACGTGCTCTGATTTTATTTTAGTGTGCAATCACTGATAAATTCTACCAAAGAGACAAAATATAACTTATTATATGCTGTTTATTTATATATTTATAACAATCAGATGAAAAATTGTTAGGCAGTTGCTATCAACTAATTTTTTATTTATGTTTCACTATTATTCAGTTTGGTTCGATAAGAAAATTATGGAATTGTATATTCTAAAGAGAATCCATCTATCATTAAAATTTAATAATTTACATTTACAATAATGTTCCAAAAATTGATAATTTATTTAAGAAAAATAATTTTGTATAAAAAAAACGATTAAATTGTTACTTTCTTGTTAATTTTTTAAAAATTGACAAGAAAGCAAAAATTTAATCGCTTTTTTGGAGTTTATTATTGATTTATAAAATTTTGGAGTTTATTATTGATTTATAAAATTTAAAAACATTGGAACTCGACGAGTTTTTTTAAAAATATTTTACTGTAGCTTAATTTGAAAAATAGATTTTTTCTGCACTATTTTTAAGCGAAATATTTTTGAAAAAATTCCTACGAGGTGAAATATTTGACAAAATGAAAGAAGTGTAAGAATTTTTTAGAAAGAATGAAAATGCTATGCAAAATAAAATTTTTGGGAAGAAATTTAAAAATTATAGTCAAGTAGACGAAGAAAATTAGCTTTTAATTAGAAATAGACTGAAATGGAAATAAAGATGGAAAGATATAGAAAGAATTAGAACTGAATTTAAATTTTGTCATAAGTTATTAATTACTGGAACATTTTGTTACTGTTATTATTCAGTTTTATGATTCAATGGTGTAGGTAGATTTTTAAATTAATTAGAGACGCACTTTAAATGTGACTGACCCGAAGGCAATCGGTGCAACGTAAAATATTTGAGGAAACAGCAGGGTTAATCTAATAAATTTAAAATCATAATGAGTATTTCTTGTACGTTTAGGATTAATAATTATATGACAATAATTGTGTATATATTACGACGCAAGTTTCTTTTTTCTGTAAACTTGCGTTATTTTTTTAAAATCATTTTTCACCATTTTTTCTTTTTCATTCATTTGTTTCTTTTTTCATTTACACTTACATTTTTTCATCTTACACTCTACGATTCTCTAATTATACATGCTTATATATTTTTTTAATTATATTTTCTTTATGGACAAATTACGCATGGAGGTATCCCGATGGGTACAAAAAATTCTCCAAGGTGAAAAAGTTTCTTTTTTTTTGTTTGGAAGAATTGTATATCAATGCGTTCCATGTGTTAAAATTCTTTTTGCTACGTGACGGAATGCAATGAAATAACTGTGAAAAATAGAAAAGAAATTAGAAATTTGAAAATTTTGTTTATATGTGGAACGGTACGATAACGAATGAATAAAAGTAAATTAATTCTTAGCGAAGAAAGAAAAATTATTATTGAAATATTGACAAATTTTTCTATAATAATTTTACTGCGTTCGCTAAAGAATTATTCAACTTTTGTTGTTATGTTCTTTTTGTTACGGGATTTTTTAAAAAAATATTTTTGAGTATTTTTACCGTGCGGTTAATACTGTCGAACTTTCAGTGTGTGGGGTTTTTGTAGATATAAGAAAATAGTATCTAGCAATAGTAGTAGTAGCTTGTTTAAAGTAGTGTTTTTTGCATAAATTGTCAACTGAGGTTGAAAAGAAGTTTAGTAATAATCATCGATTCGATGTCATTAGGCGCATTGTACATAATGTAAGACACCTCCAATTATAATAGCAATACAATACGAGGCCAGCCACTTTTAGGTAGACATTCGCTTTACTGCATTTGTCAATGAAAAAATTGTCCAATTATACTGTACTTGGCATCAAAACTTCTTTTTATATGCAACTAAAAATCAAGTGTTTGATCCGCTGAGCCTTCAAGATCTTGTGCCGCATCCTCATCATCATCTAAATCTACACCATTTGTCTTGAGTCCCCCATTATTCATCTTGTTTACAATTGCATCTGCAAATAGAAATGTTTTATTAAAATGTAAAAATATTAAATCTAACAATTTGGGACTCGGTCCTCGATTGACGCTATAAAATACGAACATAAAGAGATTTTAAGTTTGCGCGTAAAATTATGCAGCACTTTTTTTCCTTAAGAAAATAGCTAATATTTTTTACAACAATTGGAATTTCAACAAAAGCAATTTTTTTTAAAAACCTTTAGATATTTTTGACTCCCAAACGGTTAAAACTTTTTAGGTTATCATAATTCCTTGCGGCAAGTTTGCTGCGAAAAAGCCCAGCATTTAAAACTTCTAAAATTTAGATTTTAGAAGTTTTAAATACTATAACGTATTCAGCGACCTCAGAAAACCCCGAGTCACAAGTTTCGAATAAATTTTATTAGTTTTAAAAGAAAGTTCGCCATTTTGAATTTTGACAATCTGACTATAGATTCGTAATCAACGACCCCAAAAATCTCCGAGTAACAAGTTTAAATAAAGCGGAAAAAATTGAAATATAAATGATGAGCGCAACAATCAAGATTTTTAAAACTGAATAATTATATAAATATTTAGGATTTTTAAAACACTAAATAATTATATAAATATTTATTGATTTGTAAATTAATTGGTTTCTTTTGATGCACTTACCACAATCTGGCTTAGTGCCATGAACTCTTGTGCCCGCGAATTCAACCCCGTGTAGATCCACGCACCAACAAAGACCAAGTCCCCGATGACATTGAACATTTTTGTAATATCCTCTAGAATCACAAGTAGGCGCAACGTCTGGAGCAAGTCGCTTACGAACTGCTGCGCAAGGTCTCTCAGCTTTTGAAAAACATCCACACCATTCCGGACCACTTATAAAAATGTCCCTGAAAATCGCCATTCAAATAATGACAATCTTATACAGTCAGGTCTCGCCAAGTGTCGTTTTCAGTAAGTGTCATGACTCACAAAGTGTCATCGTTCAAGACCCGACAAGTGTCACTTTCCCCACTTTTTTTTACCCTCTCCAATGCTAAAAATGGACTACCCAAAACCGGTTTGCAACATAAACCAATGAAATGACCACTTTTATTAAAGGGGCGTGGCTTAGGCCACTGACACTTACTGAGACAGACGGTCCCAAAAGATTCCCAGTGACGACACTTAGCGAGACCTGACTGTAGTTTATAATTATTTTTATTGTTTGTTGTTTATTATTTCGTTGGTTTTTTGTATTTTAAGGCATAAAACCTAAGATAATGTACACGGAGAAAAATATAAATTAATTTTTACTATACTCTTATAGTAAAACATTTCTGGTAACTTTTACTACTTTCGAAGTAAATTTTGCTACGTTCAAAGTAGATTTTACTAATTTTTTACAATTAAGTTCTTTGATCGTAATAAAATTTACTCCGAAAGTAGTAAAAGTTACCAAAAATGCTTAACCAGAAATTTTTTACTATAAAAGTAGTAAAAATTACTTTATATTTTTCTCCGTGTACGAATCTGAAGTCAGATTTTCAAAATTTCCAAAATTCAAAATGGCGGATCCAAGATGGCTGACATTTTTTTTAAATTACTTAAATTTTCATAAAGTCTGTTACTTTGGGGTTTTCTAATTTGAGCAATTTTGATAAAATATCCGCCATTTTGAATTTTGAAAATCTGACTTTAGTCATCAGATACCACGAAGACCACTGAGTTTAAAATGATGCTAAGGAACAATTTTAAAGCAAACAAGGAAAAATCGGTTTTTTTAAATTCTTGCCCTTTTAAAATCAAAAAATAAAACGTTAAGAAAAGAAATGTCTATATTAAATTATTTTTTAGTATATTCAAAACAATTTATTCGTATACTTTAATTTTTTTTATTTCAATCTTCGTAGGAATATTAAAATAAAAAAATTTGAGTTTCTTATTAGGGAGAGATATATATCTAGATCATTACGATTTGCTATAATGGAAGATCGATTCTTTGAAAACTTTTAGAAGAGATTACTCTTGAGGCTATATATAATAAGAAGAATAATCATTGAACCAACTAATTTCATTAGTAACTTCATAATTGTCTAATTATTTGGGTAATAGTTGGATTAATTAGATTTAATAACTTTGTTTATAGAGTTGGAAAATAGAATTTCGAATATAAATTTTAATGTACGTTCGTAAAGTAAGAAATTAAATTTTAATATTTTTCGGTAATTTTTTTTACTGTCGATTTATGATCGTCAACGAACTTACCCATCTGTATCACACGAATCAAAGAACGGTTTCAGACAGGGTTCGTTTTGATCGTGTTCTAATTGGTAAAGTTCCGAAAGTGAAATTAGACCACTACTGTCAGAATCTAAATGACCGAACATCCACCTCACTTCGCTCTGGCATCCTGGTGGAAAATGACCTAGAATATGTAAAGAAAGTCAATTTTTTCCCTGTAATTAGGTTTAAAAAAATAAATTTTAAATATATTCGGTAATTTATTTCTGAATTTTAAAAAATTGATTTACCTTTTGGTTTTGAAAATGGACGACGATGTTGCTTTGCGTCAGTCATTAAAACAGAAAACCAATCCAAAAGACGATTGGCCATTGCCGGTTTAGAAGCGGGCGAGCAATCTTCATCTTTTGTAAAGTCCATATCATAAGCTGGTTTTAGAGGTGGTAATGATGTCTTTTCCGTAATCTCGTTACTCGTAAACTGCTTGTCGTCGTAACGTTTCATTGAAGCTAGTGCCTGTAAGTCAAAGAAAAAGTTGAAAAACCTTTTATTATCTTTCTTCATTTTTTTCCCCTTCAACTTTTGACAGAAAAGGAAGACTACTTTTTTTCTACTACACTAACTCCATCATTATTTGACACAATCCTCTTCTTTTCTTTTCTCATCGTAAAAAAGACTATATATATATAAAACTTATTTTCGAGATAGTTCCGGATATTATTTCCAGAGTAGCTGGTTTTCTGAAGATAAAGAAAAAAAAAGTAAAACTTTTACGTGTTAAACAATGTTTTGGAGAGGAATGATTTTTTTTATTATATTATATTTTATGCGCAGTAAATCCTATAATTATTCGTGAAAGTTTCGAAATACAGAATCAAGTAAATTTTTTTTAATATTATGCAATTTAAAATTTTTGATAATTGTAGGTTACATCCCTTACTCTTTTATTTAAAACCTAAACTATCAAAAAGCCTGTTTTTTCAGTGATTGTAGGTTTTTATATCTTTAAAAAAATATATAAAATTAATTATTGATTGTAGATTTTTATATTTTTAAAAAAATATATAAAATTAATTATTTTGAAAGATAGATGACAGGGTAGAGGGAGTAGACGGAACCTTCAGAGACTTAAAAGTGGTGTAGATTTTTAGATGATGTGAACATATGCACAGAATAAAATTGGAAAATAAATCGGTTGAGTTATTACCCCTCTGCCAAAGATGAGTTATCCCTAAACCAGCGCCATAATCCTTGCGTTCGATTATCAAAATTTATCGGTTATGGTCATCTTGTAGGCAGCGGTTTGAGAGGAAATTTTGCATTTAAAGCCATTTTCGCTAACCGAGCTTTAGATATAATAAATACTCCCCTAAGACAATATAACACCGAACCCACCTTGCGTCAATAGAAAATTTTATACTTTGCTACTAATGCATATTTCAAATTCTTAACATTGGAGGTTCTCTTGAATGTTGCCGTTGATATGAAATTTGTAAAAAGTAAATATTTTCTTAACTATTAATACGACCGAGAGATAGAATCAGTCTTACATAATTTAATTGTTTTATGTTTCTGTTATTTGAATTTTCTTTACAGCAATACAACTCAAGTAAGTTCAACTGAATTATTTATGTTTTTCTATTATTTACATTTGTTATTTTAATATATTTTATTGCTTAATATTCTGATTTTTTGGTTTAAATGTACTTTCTTCGTATTCTACAATGTTATTTAAATTATGATTTGCGAATATATATTTCTTATACTAATGATTTTCCTATGTGGAGCTGCAAAATTTGCGCCCTTTCTGGATATTTTTATTGAAAAGCAATTATTTACTTTGTGACAAATGTATTTCAAATTTTCTAACATTTTAGTTATACCTGTGAACCATGTATCAGGTGAAAAAAATTGTTATCCCTTTTTGACCCCCACCCCCCTTTCCCTAAAATGTTTTTAATTTTTGGAGGGGTTAATAAGTTGCTTTTAAAATAAAAATTGTGTTAAAAAATTTGCATTTTAAAAGCAACTGGGTAGAACTTCACAGAAAAGAGCGAAGGTGGGGCTCTTTTTGCATTACTTTTAAATTTTTTGGAGGTGTTAATAAGTTGCTTTTAGAATGAAAATTGTTTTTATTAATTTGCATTTTAAAAACAACTGGGTAGAACCTCACTGAAAAAGGCGAAGGTGGGGCCTTTTTCACAGTTTTTTTAACGATACCAAATTAAAACAAAAAAACGTATCTAAACGTTTTATTGCAACGTTTACTAAACTACAGGAAAAATATTTTTTTTAAAGTTATTTCAAAGTGAATTGTTTATAGATATTTTGAAAATTTTTTATTAAAATATACTGTTTATAATTAATTTTTTTTAATATTCTGCGCCTTTTAAAAATTTATAAAATAATCTCAACATCATTTTTATAGTTGTATAATTACATGCAAATATTAATTCAACAATGTTTTGTTCATTTCGACGTAGATAATAATTTTATCATTCTGGAGAAACATCAAAATGCCATCTCCGCGCAATATAATTTTCATCATAACTTTTAAAGTCATTGTCTCTCATAAATTTTATCAACGGATTTTAAGTCCTTATAGTTTTAATTGTATGTTGGGATTTTATTTTAAAAGGCAGAGAACATTAAACAAAAATTGTTCATAAACAATTTATTAATTAATTTTTTTAAAGAATACAGCTTTTAAAAACTTTCTAATTCTAAAAATGTAAATTTCACCTCCTTTGTATTTATGCTTGGTTCATTTAAATCGGTTTATTCCTTTATGAGAAATAAGATATTGTTTTAAAACTTGCAAAAAAAATCATGTTGCATAACTTTTATAAAAAAAAATTTTCTGTCGTTTTTTCAACATATTGAGTAAGAGAAATACTTTTTATTTTTAGAGACTATTTCACTAATTCCGACCCACTTATTTCATTAGTTATTCATGTTTATTTAAAACAGTTTGAATTAAAATTCCATTTTTTGGTAATTAGTATATAAGGTCAGGATATGAATAGTTTTTATTTTTAACCCTCTGTCTAAGATGAATCACATCCATATATCAACGCTACATTCCTCTTCGATTTTCGATTCTGTCTATGACGGTCATCTTAGTGGACAGAGAGTTAAGGTCATGTTATTTAGTGGTCACGTGTTCCCATAGTAAAGTATATGGAGCACGTGACCACTGAATAACATGACCAAGGAAAATTTTTTAAGCCCAAGAAACCTTGTACGGTATATGTATTCATAGGAAACATTTCGCGAAACCCTCCCTGCCTCAAAAATAATTATTTAGTTCATTACAAATGCGTTTTCAACTTTCTTACACTGTAGTTTCTTTCAATGTTGTCGTTGATTCGTAATTTGTAAAAAGTTTTCAGTTTTTGGAGGGGTTAGTAAGTTGCTTTTAAAATGGAAATTTTGTTAATTAATTTGCATTTTAAAAATAACTGGGTAGAACCTCACTGAAAAGGGCGAAGGTGGGGCTCTTTTTGCTTTACTTTTTTATTTTTATGGAGGGGTTAATAAGTTGCTGTTAAAATGAAAATTGTGTTTATCAATTTGCATTTTAAAAGCAACTGGGTAGAACCTCACAGAAAAGGGCGAAGGAGGGGCTCTTTTTACTTTACTTTCTAACTGCCCCTAAATTATTTATCCTACGCAAAGCAAAAATTTTTTTAGTAATCTTATAAATATAATTTTCTTACCTTGGCACGTTTTGAGTATTTGAGGTATTTGTAATGATGATTGTCATAGTTAAAATCCCGTGGCGTTAGAGTGATGTCCCGATCTCTATTCATCTTGCCAAGTAAAGATTGCTTCTGCAGTTGCAGTTTTTGCATTTTTTTCAAGTGCGAAGGCAATGGATGGACGGATTCTAGTTAATGTTGAAAGTTAACTGATTATTTTTTTAAACGTAATAATAATATTTTTCTACATAGATTATAAAGGTAAATATTGAATTTTTCATGCAAACGTTATATTTTATTGTTTTGTGAGAGAGAAAAGAATTGATATACCTTTACATGGACAGAATCCTTTACAACCCAAGTAAACATATGTGTGATGTATACAATTATGATATTCTATGCGACAAAGCGAGCTGTAGGTTCGATTGTCACTGCCGCAAATGAATGAAGGCTTCGTAACCGGACAATCTTGACACCTAGATGAAAAAATGTTTATTTTCTCTTTTAGTTTGTAGAAAAAAAATATTTTAAATATTCGTCTAGTAAAAGTTTGAAATATTTAAAATTTTGAAGATTTAAAACATTTTTAATTTTCTTTTAACTTGTATTTCTTAACTCCATGACTATTTTTATTTACTCATATCAATTTTAATGATTTGATTTACTTTTTTTTGTATCTGAACTGTAAGTCTTACTTTGATTCATCTTGATCTTCTTCTTCGTCATCTTCAGAATCAAAAAATGCATCATCATCCTCTGTATCTTCTGATGATTCTGTCCGCATTCTTCGTTCTTGAAGAACTCGGGACTTTGGAATCACTACATCCCTAAAGTGTTTAAAGATTTCCAATTAATTATTGAGTTTTTATAAAGAACAAAATTATTTTTTCTATTCTCTAAATATTTGAATCAGTGAAATTTTACTGGTAAAATAGATGGAATTAAGCGACTGACACACTTCAGGAAAATTTTCACTAATATTTAGTCGTATGTAACTGAAAACAGTGAAATTGTTACTGATTCAAACAGTGACATCTGTTTTACCGATTGTAGATAAAACAGTACCACCTGTTTTATCTGCAATCGGTAAACCCGTGACATCTACTTTATCTACAATCGGTGAACCAGATTCAACGGTTTGATTCAATAATTATTTTATTGCAATTTTCAGTAGATAACGACTGAATTTCAGTGAAAATTTAGCTAATTATTGCAGTCAATTTTGTAAGATATTTAAAATTCTCAAACAATAGGGACTAGTCAATTTCAAATTTTTATTTTCAAAAACAATTTACCCTGATTTGTGAAGTTCCTTTTTGGAGACACATACTGCTGTGAACGAGTCTGCCAAAAGACAAATTTCCTTCTTTTTGCAGTTAAGCGGACGACAAAGTTCACCTGATTTATAACAATTAGAAAAATAAATTTCACCCTTTTTGTGAAGACAATAAATATTTAAATATTAAATTTTTGCAAAATATTTTCTAATTTATAAAAATTTAATATTTAAATTAAACTTTTTTAATATGGTGTTTATGTAAATATTTTAATAAATACATGTGCTCTCCATTTCAAGAAAACATTGTGACGCTTTACGAGAAAAGGGACCTTATGACAAGAGTAAATAAGGTCCCTTTTCTCGTGGAGCGTCACATATATGAATAATCGTTACATGTTTTCGGAAAAGTTCGATGCAAAGAACTTTTAAGTTCTTGACATTGCAAAGGAAAAAGGATATAACTTACTGTTTGGATCGTATATCCATCGCTTTTTATCGCCTGATTTTACAATTCGTGTATCATCCTGAAAAACATAAAAAAAAGTTGTTGAATACAAAGTGCCTGGGTTTTATTCACTACATGGATCAATATCGTTTTATTGTTGTCTATTCTAAAAATACTTTACAATAAAAAATGACAGTCACACACAGTCGAAACTCAATGGACGCAATTTTTTTGTTTATATAAACGTTGATGCAATTTTTTTATTCGTATGCAAAATAGTAGAATTAACTTTTAAATTCAATTTTATGTGAATTTTTCCTTAATATGTATAAATTGCAATCAAAAGCAGAACTTCATAATATAATTCACCTGAAAATGAGCTTTTTCTCTATAATGTTATTTTATGTTGAAATAACAAAAAATTCGTTACACTAAAAACAAAATTTATTTGATTCAAATAACCGATTATTTAATTTTTTTTAAAAGATTTTTTGGGACTGATTACGAATCCAATGTCAGTTTTGCAACTTTCAAAATGGCGGACGATTTTTTTAGTTGGTAGGATTTGCTTGAAACTTATAACTCGGGGGGTCACTGATTACAAATCCGATGTCAGTTTTCGAAAATAGAAAATTACGAATGCAATATATGACAAATTCGACATTTTAAATTTTGAAAAATTTGGGAAACTGACACGGATTCGTAATCAGTGACCCAAAAAATCCCCAAGTATTCATTTTGAAAAGTTTAGCTCATCTTTGTAAACTTTCGTCCGCCATATTGGATTCACCATTTTGAATTTTTAGAAACTGACATTGGCTTCGTAATCATTGGTTATTTAAATCAAATAAATTTTTTTTTTAGTGTAAAGTATCGAAAGTTGCTACAAACAAAATTTAATTTTAGTTTCTTGATAATTGTTTTTTGATGTTAATGATAATAATTCTTTTTAGTTTTTTCGAATAAAATTAAAAGTGATAATGATTCATTTGATTAAAAAGTAAATTATTTACGCTTCCACGAAAACACATTTAATTAGAAAACTTTTTCTCATGGTTGTTGTTACGTTTCACGAGAATCTATAATAGGCAGGGCAATTTATTTTGAATCTAGAAATTGAACTTTCTATTTAAATTGGAATATTAATTGACAAATTTTACTATATCAATGCCACGGTTGTATTTTCTTTATATAGTTTATGTCTTAACTTTTATTTTGTACGCATTTTACATTTATATGCATGAAATATATTTAAAAAGTTTTTGATAAAAAAATGTAGTCAAATCTCATGCCGCTCTAATAGTTTCTGTGCCTTTTTGCCAGTCTTGAATTCTGAAGATTTTAATCTGAACTTTAATTATAGAAATATTTGTCCAATTTTGTGTGACGGAAAAAGTAAATTGGAATGAAATTTTTATTTTTTCCATTAGAGATATGTGGCTCTTGAATAATGAAAATTTCATTCTTTCATATTTTTGTACCTTGTGAAAGTTTAATAATTACGTATCGTCACGTAAATTATACTTATAAACTCCAATAGAATCTGACAATTTCATAATTTAAAACATTAAATTTATTTGATAGTCGAGAGTGAAACTTATATATTTTTTTGTAGTTCTTTTTATGGTGTCATAAAATAGTAATGAAAATGTTAACTTTTATGCTTTTTTTCTGTTTTACCCTGCGTGAGGGTTTATGTTCCTACAGACCCTAACAGGATACTCTTGAAAAATAAAATGACAAGTTTTTAAAAATCAATTTTGATTTAAAATTTAAGCTTAATTTATCAAATGAATAAAATGAAAATTTATAGAATGCAAAGAGAGATGTTGGAAGTTGGAAAACGATCGATAGCAAACAGCTCGGACCCCCACGACGCCAAAAATACAAACTAACCCCTAAAAGTTTCTTTGAAAACTTATACATTTAATTTCTTTGTGTACTTTCATATTTATGTATTCAAGTATTCATATTGTACTTGAAGATAAAAAGAATTTTTCACAGTTCAAAATAACCTTTACTCATGCTAGAATAATTTACTTTTTTCGTTTTTTTTTCTTTTTTTTGTAATGATGTGTATAACCGTGTATAGCGAGCAAACATAAAATGTGTGTTGAAGGAGACTCACTAATTGCTGCCTCCTTTGTTTATAAAGGCATATAAAAAGTGTAACTACCCATTTTAGTTTTGCTTTTACTGAGGAAAGATTTGATTACACAGATAATAGACGTGAATTTTATTTAATGGCGCAATTAAAAATTATTGTCAACCAAACAGGGTCATGAAACATTTACAAAATAGAGGATATTACTCTTGATACATTTTTCCAATTGTATATTTTCGCAAATTTTGAAAATTAAAAAAAAATCGTAAATTTATTCTGTTTTTGTAAAACACAATTTGAAAGTAAATAGAAATCTTAATTTTGAATAACCTATTCGAATTAGATTTTTTGCTGCCGGAAAATGTCAGTTTTTAATTAAAACAATTTAATTAGTTCACCTTAATTTCTACTTTTTCTCCATTAAATTTTTTACAGTATATTTTTTTTATATAAAAAATTATACAAAAATATTCTCTGAATTAGAAAAAAATTTTTTGATGTAAAAAGGATTTAAATTATTCTCGTCTGTTTTATATTTTTTGCCGCTTAACAGTTTTTCATTATTTCTTTTGAATTTTGTTAAAGGTTTTTTAAATTAGAATCGTGTAATTAGTCGCAGTTTTTCTTTACAGCGTTGAAAGTATATTATTTCAGTAACTTTAATTTTGAACGTTTTACTTATGAGTAAAACAAAATTTCAATCTGTTGCTATGTGAAAAGAAATTTTCATATAATACTGCAGAAAATAAAAAGCTGTATTTTTAAAAATGAGAAGAAAATTAATTTTTTTGAGGTGGAAATATTTTCTAGTGTATTTTTTATTTTGGTTTAAAGGGGAATTTGAATTCAAAATGTTAGATCCATTTTAAATTTTGAAAAACAAACATCAGATTCGTTAATAGCAATCTCAAGAATCATCGGATAAGAAGTTACAAACGAAGTGCATTAGATTCTTAGAAAAAGTCGGCCATATTGAATCCGCCATTTTAGATTTTGAAAAAGTAACATTTACATTAGTAATCTTAAGAATTGTCACCTATTTTCATTTGATAATTACAATTTCCATTTAAGTACACGGAGAGAGAATATATATTAAATTTTGTAAAAGTATTTTACAATTTAGGGAAAAAGTGCGAAGAAGCGAAATTTTGATATAAAAAATACCAAACTTTAAAAAAACTTATATAAAATTTAGTATAATTATATCAAATATCAAGAATATTTATTAAATTCTAATATAACTTTACAAAATTTAACATAAATTTTTTTTAATTTAGTATTTTTTATATCAAAATTTTGCTGTGTAGCACGTTTTCCCCAATTTATAGAATACTTTTACAAAATTTAATATGTATTCTCTCTCTGTGTATCTTATTTGACACAAGGAAAGTGTAAAAAAAAGTTTGTTCTTCCCCTAAAAGAATTTTTTTCTCACGCAAAATTTTTACTTTACTTTGCAAACTTGAAAAAATTAAAATTCTAATTGAAACAAGTGGTTTTTTTTAAAAGTACAGCTAAGTACGGTTGAGTGGTTTGTTTAAAATTAAATTTCAGAGAAATGAAGAAAATAAGTTAATGAATCGTTGCAAATAATCCTATTCAACTACTTTATAAAAGCGGTTGTGGCGAACCTCGGAAAGTCCAGAGGTCGTATAAAGTGTGGAAAAGTATCTACACCTTGTTTTAGTAATATACTATATATATCTATATAGAAGACAATGTCCGAAGGAGTATTAAATAAACTCTAATAGAAAAGACACTATTCCCAGGAAAATACGATACCCAGTTAGACTCTTAATATCCTAAAATATAGCCATAGAATAGGTGACTGAATTTAAACTATAATTGAAAATTTTATTACTGCCTATTTTATATGTCACAAAGATTTAAAATTTTATTTTCTAGAAGCTATGTTTTAAGGGGACTTTCTGGTCGAGGATTTAAAAAAAAGTTTCCTTTTTTTACTTCAAAGTGTTCTTTTGTTTAATGAAATTACTATCCTAATACATTTTTGTAAAAATATGTATAAGAAAAAAGTTATAGCAATTTTTATGATCATTTCTTAACTCACTGTAATTGATTACGAAAACTTTAAACAAATTTTTCTCGAAAACACATTTTTAAAAAAAAATTTAACATTTAAAAAAAAACCAGAAACCATTCGATTCCTTAACTAAAAAACTAGACAACAAACTTGTAAAATTTTTCATTTTTACCCCCTGTTATTTTCTATGATGGTAAATTTACCCGAAAAACCATAATTTTTTCGAATTTTTTTAGAAAAATGTGTATAAAAAAATTGTAAAATATTAAAAATAGTTGTTTTTGAGGTTTGTTGTCTAAAAAAAGCCCCTTATGAAGAGAATCCCGTTTGAATTTTGAATTTACGTAGTTGCGAAAACGAACCAAAAATTACTAAAAAAAATTTTTTTTAATTCGCTTGTAATATTTAAAAATATTGAAAAAGAATTTTTGCAATAAATGTAATACATTTTTTACAATAAGAGTTAAAAAAAGTGTCTTTTTTCTACACTAGAGAGTCCCCTTAAAAGAAAAACCGGATTTTTGATAAATTCACTGGAGTTTTATACTTTAAGATAATATCTTTAATTTTTAATACAATTGTATTTTTTGTTACAGTCGATTTTCAGTGGATTTTTATTTTTTGTTTGAAGGAAGCAAACCTGGTTTTTGTTTGCAAAAACTCTGATGTACCAATATACTCTAAATTTTAATTAGTAATGTTTACTAATTTGTAAAAGTAATTGATTTTTTGCTTTTGAATTAGTGAGTTTTTCTAATAATTAGTGTAATTTCCACTAATTTATTTGTATAATTTCCTAATTCAAAATCAAAAAGTCAGTTACTAATTCAAATTAGTCGACACTTTTACTATTTCAAATGAATGAATGGAAAAAAGACATTGTAACTGATAGTGAATTAGTGATGACAGTTAATTTCAGGAGTGTTTGATTATAATTATAGTTTCGGGAGTGTTCGAATTTATTTTAAATCGCGATCGATGTACTTTTAGGGCAGTATATAAATTTAGTTCTTGTAAGTGTGTAAATTCAGTTCTCGAATTTTTAAATAAACCGCGAGTGTTTAATTAATTATGCAAAACAGTCTCCAATATTTATACATCTTGACATCATATTTCATCATATTTTCAAGAAAGAAAAAAAGTAAGTAACCTTCATTTGCTTTTAAATTTTTGAAATGCTTGCCGCGAATATTAATTTTCTGTAATATATTGAGTTATCCAATTCTGCTAATAGAGTTGTTGTAATAAACGTAAATGGTTATTCCTGGAAGCTACATGGTTAGCGCAACCGCCCACTTGTTCAATTAATCATTGCTATTTATTTACCAGCGTTCTAAATAATAACTGTGTGTCTGATGCGTGTGAGCTCTACATTTGCATCGTTAGGTATCAAAAATATAGATAGAAAAAAATTGTTTAAAAAATTACTGTTTTTAAAATTGTTTTAAAACTATTTTTAACATTTTATTTTTCATTCATTTTATCATTCATTTCTACTTGAATTTGCAGTTTTAGTTTCTATTCGAAAAATCGGGAAATTGAGACACAAACCCTTCAATTCGGATTTGTTTGAACTTTAGGTTCAAACAAATCCGAATTGAAGGGTTTGTGTCTGTATAGTTGCAGCTTTGGCAATGTTCCCTTAGAGTTGGATGCTTGACAAAAATTCTTGTCCAGCATCCGTAAATCTTTCGCATTCGTACATCATTTGAAGTCTCTATTGATGTTTCGTTTTTTCTTTACGTTCAGGAAAAGGAGTTTGGCAAATTTCGGTTGTATTTTTTTACTATTTTGTGGAATGTTAGAATTACTAGCCTCCCAATGTCGAATTTCAGAAATTATTTTAGTTTCATAGATCAAGTATATATTTATGAAAGTAACCTAAGGTAAACATGCATTTTTTGGTATGAAAAAGAAGGCGTACCCCAATGAGAAAAATTGTTATTTGACGAAATGTTTTGATGAATATTTCTTGAACTTGTTTTTGACAATGTTTTTGATCATGCTATTGATGAACAACTTTTGGGTTAGCCATTCTTTCTCATTGGGGTACACCCTGTATCAGCACACTGAAATTTTGAAGGTTCTCAAGGTTTATAAATTAATCAAATTTTCAGTGTGTATGTGTGATAAATGAGAATGTGCGCTAAGGGAAGAAAGGAAGAAAGTGTATAAAAGAGTTGCAAGAACCGACCTCGTCGGCAAACTCGAAGTCACCATCAAATTTCCGCTTGGTCTTTGTTGCGATTGTTGTTGCAACTAAAAGAGCGATGACAGTAAAAAGAAGCCAGGACAACCGCATCTTTATTCCTCTTGTATATTTGCCTCACTTTTATTGTCACACCGTCAGGAGGCACTGAACACACGATAGTATCGATTGTACGAAACGCGGCGCTCTACGCGCGACGCCTCGTACCTAAAAACTCTTTTCTCCAATTAAATTCTTTTTTTTTTTTTGCAAAATTAGCACCAATAGGGTTAGTAAAAAAAATTCGGTAAAATTTGGCGGCTCAAGTGTGACCGCTTCGCCGGGGGGTAAAAGTTGATTGCGATGATAAATCGCGATGATGGCTTATTATATTCACACGTTGCGTGCGCGTGTGCAATGATATCTACGTACTGGCACTGTTTCGGCTCTTTCAACTGTAGCCTGTTTACATGGACGTCGCTCGTTGAATTTTCCTCTACCAACTACTATGTTCCGTGAACATATTAGGAGTAACAACTGCGCGTGAGCACAAGTTAGAGACCTGTGCAGAAAGATTGTACGCGGTAAATATATTCTTTACTGCTGGTGCTGCTGCTAGTACACTACTATTGGTACTGTTGTGGTTGCAACGCCATTGGCTAGATGCCGGCAATGAAGAGGAAGAAGAAGGACATGTCCAGACAAGGCGTCGCCTGATGCAATTTTCTATTAACGGGCAACACAAAAGAAGAGAAATTGTTTATGATTTTTTTTTCTATCAACAGCAAATAGTTCTCTCTCATCCACTTTCATTGTTTGCCATCAACTTTTGATGCAATTCTAGGGAAAAAAAGGCCAACTTCTCCTGACTTTTAAATCTACTCAAGAAGTTTGGAGCAGCGGAGAATATAATTTGGATTGATTCGAATTGAATTTTACTGTTTTCTTAATGAATCCGCAATGCGGTGAATATTTCGGATTCATTGTGTCTTTTAAGGATTCGTTGATTCAATAAGAAACACTACAAGTTTTATGTATTATCTTGTATATATTCATCAGTTACGGAATAAAAAATTTTCTCTCACCTATTTTTTTTCAAAGAGAAAATTTTTTTTCACTATTATGTGAGTGGAAATTTTTCATTTCGTATTTGATCAATTTTGAGATCAATTTTTATTATTAAAAACAGGTTTTATTGTTGGAGAAATTTAGGGAGATGTGTGAGACGAAAATATTGCCTGAAGGCGGCAGACTATTTTAGGGTTATACTACTGCTAATATTTTTCACACTCTGGCTATACTACTGTCGCTACTAAAACTTGATGCTATGCGAGTGAGACAAAAATGAGAAGTCGTATAAGTTTGAATAAAATTAGGAAAGAGATCACTTCAAAAACCGTGAATTATAAAAATACTTTTCTCTTCGTAGAATTTTTGTATTTTTTGCTTTTTTTTATCGTTTTTATAAATAAATTATAATAATATTTTCATTCTGAATTAGCTCGAATAATTCACTGTTTCAAACAGTGAAAGATTTTTTCAAATGTATACCATTGAAAAAAAAATGTCAAATAAATTAAATTTTGTTCAAATCTTCTTAAAACAATTGAATTTTGTGGAAATCTTTTTAAAATAATTGAAATGTGATAAAATCGTTTAAAAATAATTAATTAATTTTTTGAAATATTTTAATTTTTTCAGTTGAAAAATTTGGTACAATGTAAAAAAATCTAAACAATTTCAACGTTATTTTTTCTATTTTTGAATTTTCGGAAATATGTAATTGAAACTATAGGAAATAATTAAATTTTAAAAATTTTGAATGACTAGAATATAATTTTTAGATGCTAATTTTCATTTATTTTAATTTTTAAATTTACGCACTAGAAGATTTTTCATTAAAACTATTAAAAATCCAATTATTTTCAAAGTTTGCAATTAAAATTCTTCAAAAGTTAATTTTAAACACAATTGTAATAAAATACTTGAAAGAAATGAATTATTTTCAGTTAAATTTTACAAAATTTCTATTATTCAAAATCTTTTTCAATTTTATTGCATATTTCGAAAATTTAATTAAAAAAAGTATTCAAAAATAGTTTTCATTTTATACTAAAAATTTGATATTTTGTTGCGATGTTTGGAAGAAATGTCGTTAAAGTCATAAAATTGTAAAGAAAGGTTAAAAAAATTCGAAAAAGTCGCAATATCCGAGGCCTGTTGATTTTATCTGTTAGGATATATTTTTAGATAGAATTTAAATCAGTTTGGATGTAAGATACATTTTTATTGGATCTTTCAAGCGAGTGCTAAGGCAATAAGGTCAATTATTATATTATGTTGTTTAGATCATTTACAAATAGAACATTTTCTGCTTTTATTTGCTTTAATAATCTTCATCAAGAAAAAGGCATTTTATAATCAAAATGTTTTTAAGAGTGATTTTTCGAACTTTTTATTTTCTAAGGGATTTAATATTTCATTTGAATGTATATTTTAGTCCTGTAATCTAATCTTATTTAACGGAGCTGAATCTGGAATCTCATTTAATGAAAGTTGGCACACAAATCGTAACCTGTATCTTAGGTTAAATTACAAATACTCAACTTTAAGATCTGAATTCAGTATTTCCTACACTGATAAGTTGACAATCTGTTCTCGATCAAAAATGTTTGATGTTTCTCTATCTTGATTTCAGTTAAATTTTCTAACTTTAATTAACTTGTGAAGTTCAATTCAAAATGAATTCAAGTTGAAATGTTCAAAAAATGTAAATTGATATTTTATTATTAACTTTTACAAAATTCTGCCCAGGTAAAAGCACATTGGTAACAATTGTCTACCTATTTTTCACAGTAGTGCTTAATCTGCTCTATAACTAAAGTTGCGTCCTTCACCGGAAATCCAATATTTCCTCCTCTGGATCAAGAAATCTTGATGTCAGCAAATATTTTTAAAAGAAGCTGTAGGCATTTATATAAAATGATTCGATATTCCTATTTTTATTTGTCTTCTATAAATGCAGAATTGATTTTGTTAATTTCTATTTTCAGCTGATTGTAGATGGTAATACTTGTTTCAGTTCTAATTTTGATGAGTTTTAGAATATTTTTTGTTAGATTCGTATTGAGACCAATTTTTTTATTGAGAGCAGAATTTTTTAAATAAGCTCGCATAGTTTTGTTGAAAGTATCAAATTGAAATAAATGTGAATCAAATTGCCACCAAAAGTTTTGATCAAATTGTTCCCTTAATTTTGGATTAGCTTATGATTTGATATATTTTTTTGGTATCAATTCGTTTCAATTAATACTTTCTTAATTGAAATTTTAATTTTGTACATTTATATCAAAACAAAAACCAACTGATATTTTCTTTCTATTTCAGGTGTCTGCACGAGTATCAGCGGTCGGTAAGTCCCTTTGATGATATCATACAAATATATTTATTTGTGACATGTTTCAATAGTGGTAATAAAAAAATCTTCAATTATCGAACTTGAAGGTTTTCCTTACTGGATGACGATTTGTACCAAAAATGTTAATATCCATTTCTATTTATCAATGGATGTAAACTTATCACCAAAGATAGGTTTTTTCGTGAAAACTGTTTTTATGAAAAATTTACCAATCAAAGATTTTTAATAGTCTGATAGACTGATAGAAAAAAAGAATATAGTTTTAAGCAAAAACTATAAACATTGCATCCAATTTAAACCCGAACGTAAATACTGTAATTATTTTTAAAAAATTTAAATATATTTTTGTTTCTCGATTTTTTTTTACAAAAAGAATCACTTAATGCTGTTAAAAGCAGGATCAGATCGAGATTGTCTCTCCTTGGAATAAAATGTCCCAATTCCGGTATTAAACCCTTTTTTCTTCAATTAAGAAATTCAATTTGTAGGAAGGGATTTAAATGTAAATTGAGAAAGATATTAAAGCTAGAGAAATCTAAAATCGATAAAAGACGTTCCTACGTTTGCATTCAATTAAATATACACAGAAGTTGTTCTTCTATATTGATTCTCGTGCAATGACATAATTATTCTCTCGAAACGAATTTTATTTGCTAATATTTTAGAGAAGAATTTCCTAAAAATTTGTATAAAAAAATGGGTTAAAATTAAATTAATAATTTAAATTTGTTTTGATGAAAATTTGATGAAAGGTGAATAAAAATATTTTTGTGTTGGAAGTAAAGAAATGAAAAACCACATTTGTACTGTTGTAACTGGCCAATAGTATTTGCCACTTTTTCTTATATTATCATTCTATTTTTCATATGTACAAATAATATACAATAATTGCCTTTAATATATACGTATTATTAAAATCTAATCTCAATGATGTTATAGAAGTTACATGAATAGAAACTTGACCGCAACTAATTCATAGTACGCCATAGGTCTGCACGGATAAAAATATTTTTGTTTTCGACAATAGAATATTTTACAATTGTCTATCAAAACTTTTTCTCTTTTTTTAATTTTAGCAAAAAAAAAATTGTACTCAATTAAAATTCGAAAATATATTCAAATATTTTTCTAATTTCAATTGCAGTGGTAAAATTTTGATTGAATAAAACTGAAGTTGATACGACAAAAAAAGTTTCGGACAAATAAAATATTTTATTATAAAAACAAAATATTTTTCTCCATGTGCGCTTTTAAAGTATAAATACAAGTTTTTTTTAATATATATATAAAATTTGTATAATCTACATGGATCACTTGAAGTATATCTCTTCCTTTAATCACAAACGATTATAAATATAATAACTACCACTCGAGCAAGGGGTTGTGGCCTGTGCCACTCTGGCAGTACATTATTTAAATAGGCACATTTCATTCAAATTTCAATTCTCATATCAATTTCATTCGACATTACTTTCTTTTACTCGAGAAGCCTCATTTTCACGCACAAACACGAGTATTTTTTGGTTCAAATTAAAAAAAATATGTGATTTTTAAAACATGGTTAATAGTGCATTATTGCCCTAGGGTAATAATGAGTACTTTTTTTACCTGCAAAGAGTCAATAAACTCAAACTCGGCCGTATTAGGACCCATTACTGCCCTAGGGGAAATAATGGGTCCTTAATACGCCTGAGTTGCATAAAAGATTGTTATTTTTTGTTTGAATGATTGTCTATTTTTAAAATGTATAAATATCTCTCGAAAATAAATGCGAATTTATAAAAATGATGACATTGTTATTCATTGTCTGTGCGTAAAAATGAATGACTTTGATTAAAGTGAGATTTATCTTCAGAGATGCATTAAGTAGTTATTTTGCTTATTTTGATTTAATTTTCAAGATACGTGTCAACTGTTAAATTGACATCATAATAGACCATTTATCGGCGCAATTGCAATAATCAATCAACAGCCGCGACATTTTTTTTTTCTTTCTTCAATGAATGACGTTTTTTTTAAAGATTTATTAACAATGTGAATCCAAACTATTTCCAAACATTCACTAATAAAATCGAAGGATTTTCGATGTTTTTGCAACATTTTTCGTTGCTAATAAAAATGATTCTCGAGAAATACGAAAAACAAGGATGCCTCCTTGTGTTACGTTTTTGGCCCCCTTGTAAACAGGGTTAAAACCTACACTTATACGATTTATTATACAAAATGTAGGTTTTACTGTACAGTTTAAATGAAACCTGGATTTTTGCGCTATATGAACATATCTTATTGCTAATATTAATATTATTATTTTTTTACAATTACATATCAAGACCTTTTTTTGTCTGTCGTCATTGTTTCCGTAGGTCCTCTATTTTTTTTTGTTGAGTTTCCTCCATCAATATAGTGCCTCTATGAATAATACTATTCTAACTATATCGTTTATCGTAAAATTTTTTTTTCTCTCTATTTTTTTCTCGTGAGAGAAATATCTTTGCGCGATTATATATCATCCGTTTTTCGGCGTATTCGAATAATGCTTCGAACATAAAACTATCCCGAGATATAATTCTCCTTTTTTTTGTCTGTTTCTCAAAAGGGAAACAAACAATATTTACTATTTTATATAAATATGCATTGCGTTTTACAATTAGATGAATAATACCCTTATCGCGAGTCGAAATAAAAAAAAACATATTTACAGACAGCCACTGTACAGACGTAAATTTTTACGACGTAGTTTTTTTAATAGGCCTTCAATTTAAGTAGATTCCTTGGAAATTAAAAAGACCAGTTTTTTTGTGTATAACTTTTCATATCCTGAATATTAAATCATGAATTGAAAATATTTCAAGGAATTCAATACTGATAATAAGTTGTTGACGAAACGGACAATTTAAGGCAGTTCGTTTGTGACTGTTTCTCTAGAATATTCTCTCAAGTTTGGAAATTTTGAAAATTATGCAAAAGACTTTTTTAAAAAAATAATTTTAGTCACTGGCGAACTACCAAAGAAGTTAAACTTATTGAAAATTAAACAAATTCGGATTGAAACATAATAATTTTGAGGCCTTTATATCTCAGCAATAACGTTGTGTTGTTACGCTACATTTAGAAGTCATTGTCCTATTTCTAATATGCCCTAGTTTCGTCAATAAGATTATTATAATTAGAGCTAAAGTTGTTTGTACCATTGTTTAGGTGAGAGCACCTTCAGTAATCGTCTAGCCATTTTTTATTCCATTATATGTATAACTGACAAAAAAAATTTTGCAGCAATGACTTGACGATCACTTTATTTCCACTTGCAAGAAACTTTTATAGATGGTGAGATTTTTCATATTTCACGAGGTGAAGTCTAGAAATCCTCGAAAGTTTTGATTAGAGTAACTTCCAGCAAAATGTATCAAACAATTTGTAAATGCGTTACCAGTACGCAATGTTGATTTAAATCAAAATTTGATTGTTTAGTCTAAATTTTCTTTGGCAAAAAAAAACAAATTGAAAAGAAGATTTTTTGTCTGGATTCTAATTTATAGAATTATTGATGATATTATTGTATCTAGAGGTGATACGTGAGCAAATAAATAAAAGAGATTTGACCCTCTTAAAAGTTTCTCGCTCTTGGCTTGCTTTGTGAAAAGATGTCATCAAGACGTTTCTTTTAAACCACATTCTTTTCTCGAAATAGTAATAATTTGATTAGATTCCTCAGCGGTTTGTTTCTCTTACTCGAAGAGTGCTAAAATGTCGTCACTCGACGATGGATTTCCGCTACTGGCTCCGCTACTTGGTGGGGTATTTAGATCCGGAGGATCCAAATAGGAGAGCAATTCCATGGGGTCCACTACATCGTCTGGTAGTAACTGTAAAATAATTAGTTTTCTGTTAAATTCTGACTTTAAGAATTCGAAGTTCTTAAATATTCTCTAGTGTCCCTTGTTAAGAGATTTGTTTCTTTACGTAAAGCATCAGCAATTAGAAAAGGGAAAAGATAAATTTACAAATATAAAATTTCGTTCATTGGAAACTTACATTAAGAGACTCTTGTCCAGTTCCTTCGCCATCGATGACTGCAGCTGGATCGAAATTTAGATCCGAAGGTAAATCCGCTGAGTCATTATTAATATTCGTACTGGTATTTCCAGACGTATTGTGATTACTGTTGGATTCTTGCGACGATGGCGGGACGCTAGGAGGGCCACTGTTTCCTCCACCTGGCGTGTGTGGAGTGTGAGGTGTGTGCGGCGTATGAGGTGTATGTGGCATCTGGAATTATAATTATTTCATTAGAAATATTTTCAATTTTGTTAGGTAAAATTTTTATTCTCTACTCTAAATAATTTTCAAATCGTTTCGAATCGCAGGAACAGTATTCCAAAAGGACTGATGAACTTTCCTTTCTTCAGTAAAAAAAAATTAGTAAATTGAAAATGAAATGCTCTTACCTGATCGTTAAGTGATTTCTCCATGGCATTTAGAGGATCGAGAGAGTTGACGGAATCATTTAAATGACTCAATGGGCCGGTGCCATTTGTATAATCAGAATTTCCCGATGTATTTGACCCAGAATTAATGTCGTATGAGCCACCAGAGGAGTTTCGATGATTAATATTACTATTCCCGTAATTAGATGGCGTATTGTTTATCATAGAACCACTGACGATACTATTCATATCGGGAGGTATGTAAGGACTCATTGCCTGATTCATGTCCCAACTATTCATCGTTGGCATATTCATACTTCCCGGCGACATTGCTTTTATCATTCTCTTGCAGTCATTTTCCTCCTCTGATTTTATACTATTCAAAACTTTAGCTGGCTTCCAATTAGCTGCCGAGTCTATTGTCACTTCTTCGATCTCAGGTGTACTTGACGTCGTATTTAAAATTCCCCACATGTATTGATCTACTTCTAAGCCTTCGAGTTGAGCTGGTTTCCTATTAAACAACAAATTCTCATTATGTACTCAATTTCAATATATTTCTTCTATATAATCGTGGGTTAAATAATATTTTATTTTTTATGTTTTCTTTATATGTTGTATATGTTTTTATATACCAAAAGTAATTTTTGAACTTACATGCAAACGGAACATCTCCATGAACCCCTTTCGCAATTTAATTGAAGATAGGACTCGAGGTCGAAGCACTGAACATGTTTGCATTCGTGACCTCTGGCTGGCAACGTAATTCGCTTGAAAGTAATCGGACACTTCAGCGACACCTGAAATCAATTCGAAATATTTTTATATTTTTTGTGTACAAATACTACTAAATTATCTTATTTTTACTGATTTGTATCTGATAAGCTAATGTTTCGAATATGCGCATTTATTGGTAAAGCAGAAACTTCATTTGCCGACACAAAAGTTTATCTTTAAGAAAAATACTAAATATAAAAAGGAACAGACGATTTGTACTTTCTATCTCGTAATTTACGTTTTACGGTTTTAACTCAAACTTATTAATTAATTCCTGACGATCATCAATCCCTTTAACGCCCCTGGGACACAATGTCCTATCTCCAAAAAGCTCAATATCTATAAACAAAGTTAATATTTTTCTTTCAAATTTGGTGCGTTTTCTTCAGCAAAGAGAAGGTAGGGACCTGACGGGACAAAAACATTAGGCTCAGTTTTCCATGCGCATTGCACGAAGACTGAGCCTAATGTTGCTGTCGCGTTAGGTCACTTTCAGTTACATATATTTAAAGTCTTCTCTTTGCTGAAAAAAACGCACCAAATTTGAAAGTAAATTATTAATTTTGTCTGTAGATATTGAGCTTTTTGTAGGTGGGACATTGTGTCCCAGGAAAGATAAGAGGATTGACAATCGTTAGGAATTAATGAATGTAGGCCAATTGGTGATTTTTACCTTTAATGCTGTCTGTTCGACAACGTCTGATTCCGATTTAATTCCATTGTTTGTTATCGTGCTGTTGAAGTTCCTTTTAATTTTGGTTATACAATGCTCGGCCGTTAGCAGTCTTTTGCGTAGTAATCCTTGCAGTACACTTCGCACACTAGGTCGATGTACCAATTGAAGAACAAATAGATGCGACTGAAATTAAAATTTAACGTTTAAAAATATGTTTTATTGAAACGTAGGATTAGGATTAATAGCACCTAGGATTCGAGAAATGGGACAGGAATTAAGAATAGATACTTACACAGCAGCACGCCGATACAGTGATTTGGACAGTGTTGCGACCGCCCTGGCAAACATCTTTGAGGTAAAGTGGCTTATGGGACAATTTGTTTTCTCCTCGGTCAATCATAAGTGGGGTTGCATTGACAGAAACTTGCACACTTCCAGGCCAATTGGTGCTCATTTGTCGATCCTCATGATGGAAACACTTGAGTTGTAATTCAAGATCCGATCGCCACATGAGTGTCTCATGAACAGTTGACTTGAGATGAAATACGTGATTGCTCACTGCCAAATTGTGTTCTAATCTAAAGGGTTGAAGAATAATGCCGTCTCTTACGGGGAATGTTAATCTTAACTCATCTTTTTGCATATTGACTGAAGGCTTGAGTTCGTTAAAGTTAGGCTTAATATCAGAGTTTGGACTAATGTAGGGAGATATACTAGCGGCAGGAGTTAGGGGTGGTGTTGGATTTCCAGGAATTGGACTATGTTGGTAGTTCATATTTCCTGCTGGTGTTGTTCTCATCGGCGAGACTTCCTGTTGATACTGACTGGTGGCGACATATGATGAGGCAGCAGCTCCATATCCACTATTTGTTTGGTGTCCACCGGGGTGACCGACAAATTGATTACCAACCGTTGTTGGTCCCATGCTTGCAGGTACATTGGCGTTGTAATATTGGTTCCCTTGAGCTGGTGGATTATAGGTTGGAGTAGTTTGCCTAATGCCGGCTGTTCTAATCATTGGGTTGGAAGGAAAACCAGTCGTGGGCGAATTCATTCCCGGAACCGGTTGATATTGCTGTTGGAAATTAGGTCTCGTGGCAGGGTAAGTTTGGTGGGTTATTTGGTTGGGATATTGGGGAACTTGACTCGCGGGCATGCTGTTGAATCCGGGTTGCATCGCTGCTGGATTCGCTGTTGCGTATGGTCCCTGTTGCCTTTTTTGCGCCATGTGCATTGCGGGATTTGGGTAAGGAGTCAGCCTCCTTGGGTAACTTTGTTGTTGTTGTTGTTGTTGTTGCTGCTGCTGTTGTTGTAATTGCTGCTGCTGTAATTGTTGCTGCTGCTGAAAGGGGAATTATATTTTATATTATTCTGAACGAAGGTATATTTTAATGTGAAGTAAAGTCATCTAAGAGACACTTACCTGCATGGTCATCTTATTCATTTGCATAGTGTTGGGTCCCATGACGTTGTTCATTCCAACGTTTCCCATGTTACTCATGGAGTTCATTGAGTTAATGGAGTTCATCGAATTCATGGAGTTCATTTGGGACATTCCATTCATGCCGTTCATGTTCATGCCTCCCATGGACATTGGATTCATGGAGTTCATGCTACTCATGCTATTTAGCGAATTCATAGAATTCATAGAGTGCATAGGAGCCATCGAACCCATGTTGTTGTAATTGTTCATTCCAATGGATCCCATTGTCGTCATTGGTCCTCTTTGGCCATAACCTGAGCCGTACGATTGATGGGGCATTCCATGTTGACTCTGCATTTGCGACAATCGCATTAGATTCGGGGACTCGTTATAGAATTTCTGTAATCAAACATTTTGTTGCGTTAATTATTTTTACTAAAACTATTAAAAAAATTTACAAGTTTTTACAAAACTTTTTACAAAAACCAAAAGGTTTTTAAGTTTTGATAAAAAGAATTAACTTGTAAAAGTTTTTAGTTTTAATTAAAAGTTAAAATATAGATCATTAAGTTGAACGATCGTTTTTGGTATGAAATTTCTCGTGACGGTTATTTACCTGATTGAATTGAGTGGGGATATCTTGGCGGTCCTGCATGGCCACCACGCTAGCAGTGGCGGTGGCCGTAGCGGTGGCAGCTGCCACCATTGCCGCGGCACTGAACGTCGAACCACCACCCCCACTTTGGGGTGGTGTTGTGATATGATAGCCGGATGATAACTTGAGCGCTTCCTTTCAGCCAGTAATTGTGGCCGTCAAGTGTCTTTGTCCTCCCTCGAAATAGTGAATGAACTCGTTGACAAGAACCACCACCAATATTCTGAAAAAGATCATTTTTCGGTTAAATTAAATCTAAAACCTATTTTTGAGTTTTTTAAATTAAATTAAATTTTTTTTTATTTTTAGAGTCTAGATTTCTAACAAACAAATGTGTAAATTCCTAACAATAGATAACGTCTTCAGAGCCGCAAAAGGATAAACTTCTCACTGTTATCTTTTATAATCTATGAAAGTATATTTTCCCTGAAACCTTGTATTTTAAAATTTTAAACATACAATAGTGCTCCTAAATAGCATGTATTAATTTTGTTATTGTTAGTCAATATTCCTGTGATTGCAACTAAAGGTTTTAAACTTAGATAAATATTCCTCATTCTCAAATGATTTTTAAGGAAATATTATGAATGCTCTTGGTGAAAAATAGCCTTTTTAGAAAATCTTCCCTCATCTATAAGGGTTTGGTTAGAACTTGGAAGATTTCTTCGGAAATCCTTTATACCTGCGCTTAACGAAATTCTCAGAACTACCGCATACAAACTCAGTGATGGAAAGTTTGGTGTTCTTCCGGACCTTTCAAAATTTCTCCTCAACTGGAGATAAAAATCTCCTTTTTCATTATCATTGAAATATTTAATTTTACCAGAGTCAAACAAAAATCTAATTTTACTTACAAATTTTAATGTTTACTGTAGTATTTTCAGTATTCTTTTATTTTGTAAAGGGAATTGTTTAATTAAAGTAGTAGATGAATAGGAAGTTGTATAAAATGGGAAAATTATACAAAACATAAAAATTTAGACCAAATTTAGTATTTTTGCATTATTTTCATTATTTGATATTTAAAATAGTTTTGAGATATAAATGGGAGATGTAAATGTTTGAGTTATTTAGAGAGTGAATTATATTTGGACGAGAGTTTTGTCGATGAATTGTTTGAAGGCCCATAGTGTGACGTTTACGCCACTGGCTCGATCCCGAGACTTTACCCCGACCCGTCGTTTCTTCCCAGCTGGCCATGCTCGTCGAAGTCCCTATTGCTTTTCTGTGGGAAATGCACGTGCTCGCTATTCACACACTGTGCACATAATACACACATCCCTACTGCGTTCTACACATCGCGCCGTTCGAGTCGAAACACCGCAAACGGTCTTTAATGCATCAGACACAATAAAGCAAACGAAAAACTCAACGTGTATACCAACAAATATTCTTAAATATATTTTCGAAACATTTAATTCAAATTTACTTTATTTTTTTTCTTTGCAACTTCTGGACAGTTAAAATAATTTTGTTTGCTTTATTCAAATTAGCCTTTCTTATTCGAAAAAATTTACTTACGCGAACCTTACGCGACAGTAACATTAGGCTCAGTTTTCATAACTAATTATTAGGCTCAGCTTGAAAATAACAGACTCAGTTCCTAGATAGTAAAACATGTGGCGAAAATAAAATAAACATTCGGTTTTTATAATTTCAAGTGTCAAAAAAACTTTACTTAAATTTTTTTTTATTCCTTAGATGTTTGTATTGAGTTTACGAAGTTTTTTTCTGCTTTCTAACGTACAAGGAAGCTAAAAAAGTGTGTGTGTGTGTATAAAAATAAATTGTGAACAAAAGACCCTCGAAAATAATTCAATATCATGGTACAGCGTTTTCAGGGGTTGACGTCACTCGCGTTCTTACCCCCTTACTTCATTCATGCTGAATGCAATCCACCTATCCTAACCTTTCATTTCTCTTTTTTCTCCCTTCGAATAGCATCCCCTCTCTCTCTCTTTTTTTTCGTTTGGTTTCTCCTTCCATTGGGTCAGACTCCACACACTACGGGTTTCTATTCTTGGATGTCAATATTTCGTCAACTAGAGCCCACTCGGCACGCAACAAAGGCCTTGTAACTTGCGCCGTCGCGCAAGAGAAGCTGTAAATTATTGACGACTTATCCTGACAATAGCGATCACTACGATGCCGACTTGTATTTCTAATATAGTGATTTCAAATGGATGCAAGTTTCATTGTTGTATGGAAAAAAATTCACGCTTCTTGCCCCCTGCGCCCTTTTTGAAATTCCAACTGTTTACCAACAAATTTTCGCAATTAGATTCAAATAATTTTAGTTAAATTTAAAATTAAATTTTTGTTTTTGTTTTAATTGCAAAAATCATTTAGTATGAATTTATGGATCATTTATCTCCATTACCTTTTTATTATTACTCCTTATTTTATTTTACAGCAAAGTGTCTTTGAAAAGATTTTTTTTCATTTTTTAAATCGAAAAGACACTTTCCTGAAATATTTTTATCGCTTATTTATTGATAATCGTCATTCCTTATCGAAGAATCAAATCGGTTTTTATCGAGTTTCTTTGTTTATGTTCTTTAATCAAAACTTTTTTTTTGCTCTTACTGTTTTTATTACTTCGATAGTTTGTTGATTTGGTCACACGTTTCGATAACTAATCAAAATATTGTGTCACTTCCTGAAGAGTATTAATGAAAATATTTTTTTTTATTCTTAAGAAGTCTAGATTTTCTTTTTGTCTTTTTAATATTTTCGAAAAATATTTTCTATTTCTTTTTTAAAAATATTTTCGTTAGAAAGAAGAGGGCTTAGAATATGTTTACTATCAAATCAATATTTTAAGATGAGATGTTTCTTAAAAGTATCAAAATTGAAGCTACAAATTCTGATCAATTGTTGGTATCAAATCGTTACGATTTTATATTTTTAATAGCATGTGCGACTGTTAGACCTCCAATCCTAACTTTTCGACCATTTTTCTCTTAATAAATAAATTAATCTTATATTTCGTAAGGAAGTTTAAAATATATTCAGATATTAGCTTAAAATTTATTTTATATTTTAGAAAAATAATCGAAAAATTAACATTGGAAATCTAAGTCATATGTTAAGTTAATATTAATAAAATTAGTTGATATAAAATAATTTATATTTGAATGTTTGTTTAGAATCTTTTTTTCTGGAAATTTTATTTTTTGAGCAAATTAAAGAAAAGTTTTAATAATTATTTTCAATGATCATTTATGTTGTAATTCTAAACGGTCCCCATTAAAATACATGCGTTTGACAATTAAATGAAAATAAAGTATACACTAACATTTAATGGTGTGCTAATGCCGCATCGTTTGTGTCCCTTTAAAATTGAGGCTTATTTGAATTTTAAACAGAGACAGTGTAACCGACCGCGAAGTGTACAAAATAGTCAGGTTAACACGCACATGCTTTTCATGCTTATAAATTACTATCTACATTATACACTGTTAAAGATGATATCTTCCTAAGTGACTAATAAACATCCACGCAGTTATTTTTAATTTTTTACAGATTATATTTAAAATGAATTCTTCTTCTTTATAAACAGCGTGTGTGACAGATTTTCAATTTTAATTTTACGATTATTTTTCTTCTATTAAAAGAAATAAAGAAAATTTTTTGTAACCAAGGTTAAAATATGATCAAGAAGGGCAGTGAGGTGCAAAAATTTTAATATTTTCAAAATTTATTATTGTTTAACACTTTTAATTTATCGGTCAGCCTAACTGTTTTTACCAATTTAAAAGTGTTTTATATTTAATAATTTTGAAAGTATTAAAACTTTTACACCTTTATGCCCTTTTTGATTATATTTTAACCTTTCTTACAAAATATCAGCTGAATTTATTAATAATATTAAGAGAAAAATGATCGAAATGTTTACATTGAAAATGTAGTCACATAATGTTAAGTTCAAGTTGATAGAAAACTAAAGTTGAGAACTAAAATAAAATAGAGAATAAAAATATTTATACCAAAATAAGATAAATTATTCCGTACAGTGGAAGTATGTACATGTGGTAGTTAAAAATATCAGAGAATCTTTTTAGTTCACTTCCTATTTATGGGGAACTTTTCCTAACTATATAAATATCTTTTCGAAAAAATAAAAAGAATTCAAAATTCACAATTTTTTTTCTTATTTTTGAAATGATGGAGTTTACTATTTAGGATTCTAAACATATGTGATGCAGGAGGTTGTCTCTTTAAACGGAAGTAACATCTGTCTAACCCACCGAAAATTTTTAAAAAAAGGATGGGGGCGCGGATCGGAAAAAGTATTTTAAACGTCGATATATTTAAAAGTTCAACTTCCGTTCTTTATCTATTAATTATATTTGATTTGAAACAAAAATTTTTTTAAATAAGAAGTTTTAAAATTTATTTAAGTATTTCTTAAGATCAACGCTGATTATTTATATATTTGATGTCAAATTTTAATAATTTTCGTTTTAAATAGACCCAAAATACGTAATAATTTTATTCTCGTTTATACTATGTATAATAATCTACTGAAACAAATTTAAATATACGCGCTCGAAATCAGTGCTGTAATTGGTCTGCGGCCAAGGTCCGTCAATAGCCAAAGACTAAATTTAAGTCAGCATATCTATTTCCAAACCAGCGATTCGCAGTCACTTTTTACCGAAATTGGAATTTTGGGAAAATTTTTTCCTTGATAATGATAAATAAAATAAATTTGGTCGAAATTTTTTTTCTACGTTTAAAAATATTTTCAAATATTTGATTACTTGACTTTTTAAAAATGTATTACTATTATTATTTATTGTTTTGATCAATTTGAATTGTAATTTTCAAATATTAATTATTTTAAATAGTTTTTGATTCGAATTTGGAAATTTTTATCTAATTTATTTCAATCAAGTAAAGATTTGTGATAATTAAAATTAGATTAAATTTTATTTTTATTATTAATTATTATTAATTTTCATCGGCAATTTTTAAATTATTTTTTGAAATAGAAACGATAGTATTTGATGATTTTGAAGCAGAATGAGGGTAAGAAATAAATTCTATTTTCTGCACTATTACTCCCTGGAATATTTCTTTCACGTTGTACTCTTTTAGTCTGACACGAGCGGTCTGTAACTACTGAAACACTGAGATTCGACGCCCCTTAACTACTAAAATATAAATGTCGAATGAGAAATAAACTGTACACGAGCTATACTATTATATTTTATTTGT